AGGTGCAGCGTGTCTTGGTGCATACGTGAAACGTAGGTGCATGTGTCTGTGTTTCTCTGTGTGTGTCTGTGTGTGTGTGTGCATGTTTTTGTCTGTGTTCTTTTCTGTCTCTCTCTGTCTGTGTGTGTGTGTGTGCGTGTGCATGCCTCCAACCCCGAACCCAAAACACCTAGACCCCAAGCCCTAAACCCTAAACCCCTAGACCCGAAACAGCAAAGCCTGGACCCGAGACCCTAAACCCAATGCTGCACATCGTCTATGCTGGACCCGCCACCCAGGCCTGACGAGTCTTCATCTTCAGCCTCCAAGGGCACGAGCCTCGGGAAATCATGGATTTATTGACCTGGCGTGGGCTAGGATTTGGCTGAGGTAAATTCAGGAATGGAGTTCTGGGCTTGACAGTGTTAGGACTGTCGGTTTTTGGCGCCGGTCTTAAGGGATTTACGTTTGGGAGTTGGGTCTTCAGTTCGGCTTTCAGGATGCATTTGTGTCAGATTTTGAGGTCGCCATTAATCCCGAGGCACCCCAGAGAAGTTTTTCCAGAAGCTTGAATTCAGAAAGGGTTGTGTGAAACATTGTCAAGTCGACATAAGCCGACGTGAGCGGGTACCGACAGTGATATTGCAGAATGCCTACAAGAAAACGATCCATTAGAGTGAAGAGGTCTCTCATGTGGCATAAGGCCTCAAGCAAAGCGGGCAGCCCCTCCATTTCAGATCCATGCGTGGTTCGCCACATCTAGCACAGAATCGAATCTGATCAGCATCGACATCTGCTGACCCGCTCAGGCCCGACGGCTCTGCAGGCCGCTGGACTGTGGGAGGTTCTGTATTGCCTTTTCTAGCAGCATCTGCAGGAGTGGTTTTCACAGACAGTCTTCGCCACACGGGGCCGACTGCAGAATCCAAAGCTTGGATCTGTCGAGCTGGAGTAGGATGGTCATAATATTTGTCCAAGGTCCTGCTTGATGTAGCCGATATTGCTTGCAGAACCGCCGGGGAATGGCAAATCTCCGATAACAGGGTGATGGATGACCGCTTAAAGGAATGGGTCCCGATCTTTGTCAGGTCAACCTTTTCAAAGCAGTGCTCCTGCCCCCCTGCCTGTCGCATTTTGGCCCGCTCCTGACTGATGATCTCGCATGCTCTCTTCAATCTTTTCTGATATGCCTCTCGAGTCATGGGTTGATTCCACAATCTTTTGCCAGAGACCGTACAGGAAGCAAAAAGGCAGGCGTCGGCCGCGGTGTCCTGATTCTCGAACGGCCACTGGCTGTTACAGCCACAGAGAGGTGCGTGATGAAACCATCGATGCAGCAGGCCGGCCAGGGTTGCCGGGATCGACACGACACGGGCCTTTGTCTTGCCGTTCACTTTCTCCACAGAGATCTGTGGAACTCCTTTGTCCTCTGGCGCCAAGTTCTCCAGCCAACGAAATCGACACCTCATGGTGGCCCCGCCACGCTCAGCCAGAGCAAGCTGTAGGAGAATGGCCACACAGGTCCAGGGCGCCCCGTCCTGCCTAAGGACCTCCATCAAGTGGATAATCTGGTCCTTGTTCAACACTTCTCGCGGCCCCCGTTTGAGATCCGGCTTTCGCTTCGGATCCAGGCACAACGTCTTGTGCCGAAGGCAGCAAAAGCGGATCACCCGAGCAGCTGCATGTTGCGAGTCCCGGCATTTGTCGAGATTCACCTTGTTCTTCTTGACTTGCAAGTCCTTGCCAATATTTTTGACATCGACTCCACTCTTGCATCGCTTGTAGGCACACCATAGCTTGACAGGGGAATCCCTTTGCCTGGCAGGCCCTCGCGTGCCCGTTTTCAGTTTTCGAGCCATGTCGGGTGCTGCAGAAGTTCGCGCACTTGAACACATGCATAGCACAAAGAAGCAACCAGACTAGGTAATTCAGCCAGTGTGGCATTGCCAGCCATTCCCATGCTTCCTTGCACTTCGTCCAGCACGATGAAAACTGCCAGAACAACCAGACCTGGGAACAAGACGTCTAAGGGAAGTCTGGTTTCCCCTGCTTCGGGAGCCTCGTGGGGCCCGGTTGTCTTCTCGGTTCTGAAACCCCGGGGGTTTGAGAACTGGGGGCCTTCCTGGAGGACCCTCCCTAGCACTCCTAGCACTCCTAGCACCCCTGGAACCTTCTGACCCCAACCCCATCCACTGACACCCTGAACGAACCCCCTCTGTTTGACCCCAACCCGAACCCCTGACACCATCAACCCCAACTCTCAGTTTAAACCTTTGTCTTTGGCCCCAACCCCAACCCCTGACACCCTCAACCCCAACCCCCCCTGCATCTGTCCGAGGTTTGAGCCTTCCGAAACGACTTTAAATCCACTCCAGACTTAGCTATTGACTGGAACAAAAGCATTCAGAAAGGCCCCACCCCCGGGACACATTCAGGGTTTGAGTTTTCAAAGTGGAGGGCCGACAACTCCAAATATCGATCGGATCCTTTCCCGACCACCAACCTGCTCGTGCACCGAACCCTGAAACCTGCGACCTTGGCGAGGCAGCAACGAACCGTGAACTCCTGAAACGAGGGTTCGGAAGCCACCTCCAAAACCTTTCCTGGGGTTGCCCTGACACAAAAAAACCCCGAACCACGACCTTGCTGGATGACTCCACAAAGGATTCTAGCGCCTGGCGCTGAAGCCCGCTTCTGCCTAAATTGTGGATGGAAGATGTCACCTGAACCGCAGAACCCTTTAACACCTTGCCTGAACCCCAAACCGGACCATTGAATCCCACTGAGCGACCCCGGTCCGTGCCTCGGGAGCTGGAGATGCAGGTTTGGCTGCCTGAACCGTTGCAACCCTGAGCCCGGAATCTTCAACCTGAAGCCGTACTTCCGCGACGTTCCCAACCCAGGCTCACACCGCGAAGCCCAAGCAGAACCCTGAGCCCCAGGTTTGCACAGATAGTCCTGGTTGCATGACATGGAATGCTTCTGATGGACCTGGCATGAAAGGAAGGCTTGAAAGTCAGTGGCTGTTGCAGCCGCGAAGCACAAAAGAATGCAGCGCCACTTCGCCCACAGTTTCTCAACAACCTTGGAAAGCTTCCGAAGCCCTGGCAGAGGCCGAACTGTCCACGATGCCATCATCGGCGACCACTCACTCTGGAAGACTTTGATGGGATGTTTAGGGTTTCGGACTTAAGGCTCATTTCCATAATGCAGGAGAATGAAGGAATCGATCAAGGCTTCAAGGCATGTGGAATCCTGTATTTGCTTGGCTCAAGGAAGAGGAAGTCGAAATGGCTTTTTCATGCCTTCTGATTTCAGGCTTCTTTAGAGGGTTGGTGCACAGGAGATAAGGATCATGGATAGGAGGATTTGGGGGTTAGGATTCAGGGCTTCAGGTCAATGAAAGGGCCAGCAGGAATCGATTCGGTTGGGCAGTTATAACTAGGTACATACCAGGGTCCCGAGTTGTGGGCTAACGGTTACAGTCCATATAATCAAGATGGGATAGCCCCGATTGCATGAGCCTTATTGAGATCGTACAATCAACTAGAGCCACTCAATCTGCAAGAGTTAAGAGCTTCAGAATTTAAGGGTTGTGGGAGATATGCAAGGTTAGGGAAGAGACTGCATGGGTCCTTTTACGGGGCACATGAATTAAAGACTATGCCTATGCATTCGCTATGTAGAGGCCTAAGTCCTAAATCCTACATCTTATCGGACTGCATCAGTCCATTTCCTCTGACAATTTAAATCTCTAAGCCCTAAGTCCTAAGAAAACCTTGACCTATCGGACTGCATCAGTCCATTTGCTAAAATTAAACTTTACCCCCCCCGGAATCCCGAAAACCCTAAACCCGAAATTAGGGGACTGCAACAGTCCATGTGATGTTAACACTCGATGTATCTAATCCAAACCCTATACCTACTACCGGACTGCATCAGTCCATTGGTAATCAAATTCTACATAAAACCAGATGTCCAATCCTAATCCTATACGTACTGGACTGCATCAGCCCATTTGCTATCAACCCCTACATCCAAGGTCCTAATACCGGACTGCATCAATCCATTGGCTATGCAACCCTATGTTATTCATGTTCGGTCTAAACCGGCAACCGGACTGCATCAGTCCATTCGCTACGTAAGCCTATATGATGTACTTATCCACAACCTGAACCCTTGCACCTATCTAGGACTGCCTCTAGTAGTAGTAGTAGTAGTAGTAGTAGTAGCAGTAGTAGTAGTCGTCGTAGTAGTAGTAGTAGACGTAGT